CTTGGGCAGGGAGCTCCAGTGCCCCCATTGCCCCCAGTGTCACAGCACATTCCTACAATTGTCACTGGGGTCCCACTGTCACCCACTGTCACCAAGTAGCATCATGTTGGTCACCTGGGGGGTTATGGCAGAGGGGGGTCCCTGTCAGTGACACTGGTTGTGTGGACCTGGGTGGGGAGTGACATCATTGTCAATGGCAGTCCTGGGGTGGGCAGTCCTGAGGAAGGAGAGACTGAGGCAATGGGGGTCCCAAGGATGGGTTGCTAGGAGAATAGGTGTTCCCCAAACCCTCCAGGAGCTCCCAGTGCCACTCCATGGTTCCTCAATGACCACCCAGGGATGGCCCTGAAGCCCAACCAAGACCCTCCAAATTCCCCCCAGATTCCCCAGCACCCCCAGCTGAGGTCACTGCGGGCTCAGTTTCCCCCAGCTCAGGGGCCCTGGGTGCTGCCGATCTCTGCCCTCATTCTGGGGCCATCCCCTCACTCCAGGACCCTCATCCCCTCCATTGTTACCCACCCCAGTGATGCCAGCAGCGACAGCCCCTGATGACAGCCAGGAGCAGGAGCAGGAACAGGAGGGTCCTGCTGACATTCACAGCCACTGCTGGGGACAGAGGGGGACACACCGGGGTCATCCTGAACCTCAGGGATCCTGAGCAGCCCAGTGACCCTGTGTACCAGGTTGAGCCAGGTGTGACCTCCAGGACCAGCTCTGGGCTGGGTGCCCAGTGCCCGTCCTGTCCCAGCTGGTTGGTGGCCATGCACTGATAAGTGCCTGAATGTCCCACATCCATGTCCCCAAACTCCAGGAGGGGACCCCAGGCAACCTCCTGCCCGTTGTGCATCCAAGTGAAGGTGACAGGGGCTGAGCTCACCTGCACCAAGCAGCACAGGGTCATGGGGTCACCTGCGCGCACCTGGTGTGCCAGGGGACAGGGGGTGATGGTGGCATTGGCTGCGGGCACTGCGGGGACACAGACAGGGCTGAGGTCACAGGGAGGGGCTGGCAGCCGGTGTGGGGGGATAGGGACGTGGGTATGGGTGGGATTGGGGATGTCGGGGATGGGTTCAAAACACAAAGGGTCATGGTGACAAGGGGAGTGATGGAAGGAACTGTGAAATGTGTCTGAGACACATGGAGGTGCACAGGCAGGGGCCCTGCTGGCTGCAGCCATAACTGCACAACAGATGAACAAAGAGACCTGAGTGGGAGGGAAAGTTCTGGCTTTGTGTTCTTTGTTCTGTTCTGGTTTATAAATTTCCCAGTAAAGAGCTATTATTATTTTTCTGCACTTTTGCATTGAAACCTCATCAGTTTTGAATTTAAAAATATTTTAGAGATGGGTCTTCTTATTCCAGCAAGGTTTCTACTTTCCTTGGCAGACATATCTCTTCTAAACCAAAAGGCATGATTACTCTGGGTTTTCAGCATGGGCAGGACTGACACCCCAAGAGGAGACAGTGTCAGGGACTTGGCCACCTCATGCTCTGCCTTTTAAGCCCATTGGGCCACCAAGGGCCCTCTCCCCAGCTGGCACTTCTTGTCACCTGGCCACTCATGAGCTGGGTTTGGCAGAGTGTCACAGTCCCCAGTGCCCAATGGCTGACAGACTGATGGACAGATAGGGCCCTGTCTCACCAAAGCAAGGCCTGATACACCTCTGCCACAGACAGGTGTTCCAAAATGTCTCCAGACACCAAACCTTTCCTGTCTCTGACACCCCACCCTGTGTCATGGCCTGATCCTGACTGCCCTGGGAAAGGGGGAGGCTGCGGAACCCCCACAGAGCCTTTGTGACATCCCTGGGTGGGGAACACTGCAGAGGGGTCAATTGCCACAGGGAAGAAGATAATCCAGGGCCTCCTGAAGGCTGCTTTGGCATCAGAGCAAGGAAGATCCAGGGCCCTGACAGGTTCCTCGGGAGGAAATGTGATGGGAGG